TTTAGAGCAGCACTGCTGTCTCTGTTCTATCAGAGAGATATTTAGTGTTCTGGGTAAATAATTGATTCTGCTCGGACTGTTGCTGATCTCACGAGGGTGTGGATGTATGCGTTTTTCATCTTTGCATGTACGTGTCATTCTTTTGCCATCTGATATGCTAGCTTTTTTAAAGGGATGATTGATTGCGATTTCACTTTTTTCATTTTAAATAGTGTGAAATGTTGCTGCTGGTGCATGAACAGTATCTGCAAAGTTGCAGCGCTGAAAGTTCAATGTAAGCAGAGATATCGTCTTTTTAAATATCAGGAAGTTTAATGCCTACAAAAACGACTCGATTGGGACTACAACGGGTTTTAGATTTCACTAACCCACACATTTACATCAACCCTCCCTCCGGAATATGCAAAAAAGGGCATGGCCATATTTCTGCTCTCGTCGAGTGTGTTGTGTTCACCCAGCTGTCAGGTCTTATGTGTTCGGGCTTCCCACGGACGCTGTACTTCGTCAACAATGGATACAATTTATGTTTGATTATGTTCCTGAAAATTAAAATTGTAATTTAGCTCTCTGAGCTGCGCATTTTACGAAAGACAGCTTCCACAATCGCCACAAATTCAATGCCGGATTCAACAAGAAACTGTTACTAAAACATTAAGCAGGTACAACTTTAAAACCAGAGGCAGCAGTTGTTGGGCCACAACCTGTAAGTAGGCTAAGACTTAATCATTTTAAATGTATTTGCATGTATAATTTCAGGCGTAATGTTTTTCTCAAATACCAGCGCTAGGTTTATCACCACTAGACTACTAGTTATGCTATTTTGTGTCTACGACAAACGCGTACAAACATTTTGGACCTTAATTTTGTATATGTACTAATGTTGTAAATGTATTTTTCATGTGTATATACTTTTTGGTGTTATTTTTCGATTTGATCAAGAACGTAAACAAGTGCCAACGCTGTTTGTTTTTATAGTAGCCAGTTAGTTCTCTATGATATTTTGTGTAAGACAAACGTGTATAAAGTAAAAAAAAATATATAGGCAAATTACCGTTCAGAAACGTTTTGTAAGAGTCGTGTGTGGTGAGGTTCTGCTTGCCTCTCTTCATCGCCGCTTTCTGGGTCTGATTCACCCGTAAAGGTAATGGGCGTGAAGTATCCGGACAACGTGCACTAGTTTAGCCAATCACAACACACCGGCCCAAACTAACCAATCAGAGCCCACTGCCTGTTTCTGAGGGAGTGGTTTCATAGACTCAGGAAGTCGACCAGTCGTTCACATGACAGAGGAGAAAGCGGCTTACAATAAAGGTGACATTTATGAAAAATAAGACTTTTTAAAAAAGAATGTTATATTGCACCCCATAAACACAATCATGGAAAGAAAAAAAGCAGTAAACCACCCCTTTAACCCCTTACCTGTCACCCCCTTTTTCATAATTGACATTAAAATGCACTATACAAACTTAAATGGTTGTAATTCAAGAATGCTTTGTAATATATACCCAAGTTTGGTCTTGTTTTAAAGAAAACAATCAGCAGATTATTACTGAAGTGAAAGCACTTCAAAAAATTAAAGTATGAAAAAGTTATGGAAGTTATAATTTTACAAAATATATATATATTTTTTTTACTATAAAATGACTATAAAATGAAAGCTATATGTCTAACCAAGTTGTGTTCCAGATTTTGTTTAGGCGTTATACCAAAAAAAAAAAGCCACCGGGTGCCATTGAATTCCATTGAATTTAATTGTATGCATTCTGCCATAACAAATTATTACATTTCTATCCAAATATCACTTCTGTCACTAAATATGGAACCTTGAGACTCAGACCTTTCGGACAATATGTGTTTTGTCAAGATTTGAAAAAGGTTTTGATAATAAATTATGAAAGATGATGCCCAAAAGGGGAGGGGCCTAATAAAAAATACCGTTTCTATGGTAACGCAACGTCCAATTTCAAAACGGTTTTCACCGGATAAATCCTGAGTTCGTAAGCTTTCAAATGATACTTAATTTATGATAACAACTAAAATATGTGATATAATAATAAAAAAATTATATATATATATATATATTATACTTTTTAGAGGACTTCTTATCTTACTTTTTAAAGTATAATTTTATGGGGTTTTTTTATTGACAAATACTAATTATGTTTTATTATGAACTTTTAGCACTAAAAACCAAAGTTTCAATTATTAAAAGTGTGTGCGTCGACTTTTTGTGACAAAGGTTTTTTGGAGGCGCACTCTTGTCATAAATTCATATATTACTGATCATTTATAATTTTTAAGAAAGAAACAGTGCTAAAATATCTATTTAGGAGTCTTAGACCTTTCCAACGATATATAGTTTGTCATGACTAGATTAGGATTTAATAGTAATATAGTGAAGTAAATTTAGATTGCCCGTATACGGGCGGAGCTAATGGGAATAGCACGATTTTTAGGCTCATCAAAATCTGCGTAATCTTTGCACACGTGTTTGATTGTGTGCCATTTAGAGTTGTAATTCACATACTAAGTCATGAATTAAAAAGGTGCCATTTCTTAAATTCTGAATCTATCCAACCCCGATGCCCGATATAGGATCACGGCATTGAGAGTCGAGTCAAAAAAAAAACAAAAAAAAAAAAACACAACGACAGCAAGAAAGGAGATAAGATGGTGCAAGGAATATATAAGAGTCAGAGAGCATGAACAAGAAGAAAAGTCCTCTCATTCTTTCCCTCTCCACCCCGACCCCCAGATGGGTTTCAGTGGCTAAATTAACTGCGCTGTCTTTCTGCTTTTGTTTGGGCGACAGAATGCTCTCCATGTCCAATCAGCCTGGCTCTGGAGTGCGTCATCTGGATTGATGTGGCTTTTCATTACGGCGTCTCCAGGTGTCAGTCCAACATTGACATGGAAACAGCGAAATGCTCTCTGCTCCTGAAAGCAGACACGACCCAATAATAGCCATGTGTAATAGAATGTTACTCTGCTTCTAATTTCTCCTGGCTGTCCTCTGGTAAAGCCATCAATATCAAAGTTTGGGTGTTCATTCAAAGTTTTCATTCAAGCATAAACAAATTGCCGACACAATGCTCTTAAAGGGCCGGATCCCGCCTTAAAAGAAAACCTGGCCTCAAATTCATTTTTGGGTGAACTGTTCCTTTAAATGAACAATTCCTTGTAATCCGGTGTATTTGATTCTTTATTTTCATGCAGGCCTCTTGCTGAAAGTGAATTTTCTCCACCTGTAATCACCGCGAGGTTCACTCAGAGTTTTTAATGCTCTTTTATTTTGTTATGTGATTTATTCACGGCACGCATTCCAAAAAGCGGCATTTCCCACATTTCTCTCGCCGCCCTCTCATTGCCTGTTTTCATTAAGATGCACCCGTCTCCATGGTGATTGTTGCCATGAAGGGCTTAAAGAAATCATTGGTAATCACACTGCAATCAGCAATGTTTTGAATGAAAGGCATGAAATTCAAAGTGCATATTAAAGGAGGTATAAGGGAGTGGACGGAAAGCAATAAGCAGGCTCAAAATTATGCAGTTTTCTTTTCATCCTTGTGATCACACTTAAAAGTATTTACGCCCTTTAATGGGTGTATATAATTAACTTGTAAAGGTTCTGTTGCTCCTAAAGTATTATAATCTGAAATTGTAATATAAATTCCTTTTTAAATAAAAGAGCTTTACATGACTTTGAAATGCACTACCAGTCACTACACAGAGACTTTTACTTTTAGATTAACTTAGTTGTATGTAGTTTTTTTTTTTTTTTTTTTTTTTTTTTGTGGTTTATTTTATTTTGTGTTTTTGTTGATTTTGTTTTGTTTTGCATTTTCTTTTGTTGTGATATTTGTAGATTTTTTTTAGGGCTGTCAAACGATTCATCGCGATTAATCGCATCCGAAATAAAAGTTTATGTTTACATAATATATGTGGGTGCATGGTGCATAATTATTTTATATATTTAAATACACACTCATGCTTGTATATATTTAAGAAATATTTTCATGTATATACTGTATATAGATTTATATATATATATATATATATATATATATATATATATATATTAGGGCTGTGCAAAAATTAATTGTGATTAATTGCATCCAAAATAAAATTCTGTGTTTACATAATATATGTGTGTGTAGTGTATATAATAATTTTGTATATATAAATTCACACACATGCATGTATATATTTAAGAAAATGTGTTATTCATTTATAAAATATTTATATTTATATAATATAGATTATATATATATATATATATATATATATATATATATATATACAGAATTTAAGCGCAATTCTAATAATTCTTAAATATATACATGCATGCATAGGTATTTATATACAAAATAATTATATACAGCACACACAAATATATTATGTAAACACAGACTTTTATTTTGGATGCGATTAATCGCAATTAATTTTTGTACAGCCGTAATATATATATATATATATATATATATATATCATATTTTTTTTTCTTATAGGCCCGAGGGGTTCTCAAGAGTAAGCGTCAAAGACTAGAGTGTGTGTGTCAAGAAGAGTAAGCGTCAAAGACTAGAGTGTGTATGTGTGTGTAATTATATATATATATATATATATATATATATATATATATATAATTATACACAGTGCACCCACATATATTATGTAAACACATACTTTTACAAACTTTTATTTTGGATGCGATTAATTGCGATTAATCGTTTGACAGCCCTAATCTTTTCTTTTCTTTTCAAGAATTTAATTTGATTAGGATTTTTTACTTCTTTATTATGATATAAGAGCCGATGTATCACCCTGACATATTCACTTCATACAAAAAAAAAAAACAATTTAAAATTCAGAAACTCAAGACTCAAGTGGTGTATTCAAGTCATAGTGTATGATTCATCCATTTCATTTCTAAAAAAGAAATCTAAACAAAAATGTTAATGTCATTGGCCAACATGCTGGTTTATCTCCATCTCTTTTTAGATCGATGACATGCAGTGGCCCAACGGTGAGATGGAGATACCCAGCTCGGTCTGCAGTCTGCCCTGTAAAACGGGTCAACGCAAGAAGATGGTGAAAGGCATGCCGTGCTGCTGGCACTGCGAGCCCTGCGACGGCTACCAGTACCAGTACGACGAGACTTCCTGCAAGCTGTGCTCGTACAACATGCGTCCCAACCCCAACCGGACGGCCTGCCAGCCCATCCCGATCGTCAAGCTGGAGTGGCATTCTCCCTGGTCCATCATTCCCGTCTTCCTGGCAATGCTCGGCATCATCGCCACCATCTTCGTCATGGCGACGTTCATCCGCTACAACGACACCCCGATCGTAAGAGCGTCCGGGAGGGAGCTTAGCTACGTTCTGCTGACCGGGATATTCCTGTGTTACATCATCACCTTTGTAATGATCGCCACGCCGGATGTGGCCGTTTGCTCCTTTAGACGGATCTTCCTTGGGTTGGGAATGTGTATCAGCTACGCCGCTCTGCTCACTAAGACCAATCGAATTTACCGGATCTTCGAGGAAGGGAAGAGGTCGGTTACTCCGCCTAAACTGATCAGCCCGACGTCCCAGTTAGCGATCACGTCTAGCCTCATCTCCTTCCAGCTCTTAGGGGTCCTCATATGGTTCGGAGTGGATCCCCCGAACACCATAGTCGATTACGACGAGCAGAAGACCATAAACCCCGACAAGGCCCGAGGGGTTCTCAAGTGTGACATTACAGACCTACAAATCATTTGCTCTCTCGGATACAGCATCTTGCTGATGGTAACATGTACGGTATATGCCATCAAGACGCGAGGCGTTCCGGAAAACTTCAACGAAGCCAAACCCATCGGCTTTACCATGTACACCACTTGCATCGTGTGGCTCGCCTTCATTCCCATTTTCTTTGGGACGGCGCAATCTGCAGAAAAGGTAAGGCTTGACTTCTACTTGTTTACGATGCGCATCAGTTTTTTCGTTTTCAACTAGTACTTCCGTTTTGCTTGTGTTTGTCGATATTTCTCCGAGAATTGGAATTCTTTCGTTATTTATTCTTCCTCAAGTCGTTCCAAACCCAAATGCATGTACTTAGAAAGTTCTCAGACAGTTTTTCCAGACAAGCTCCGGAACGATGGTCAAATCATAGAGTAGATCGCGTCCATCAACACCTCTAAAGCTTCACGTTAACTTTTCATGGGTTCGACATTTCATTTGGCAATGTTTGGCAGTTTAGTTTTCTATTCCTTGAATATTTGATGTTCGCGTTAGATTACTTGTGTGTAAGCAATGCTTCTATTCGCTCTTTCTGGACTATTTAACTCTACTTTTACACATACATTCACAAACTTCCCTAAGCCTTTCCTCCTGAATCCCTGGCACCATTTTTGTAGTGGTCAAATGGACAAGGGACGTTTACTTCAACAGACCCTCGACCGCTCGATTTTGACCAGTTCATAGACCAAAATCCAACATTGTTATGATGTAAACAGCAACTTGCAGTCTTCGCACTTGATTTACCCACAAGTTATCAAGGGCTTAGTGCGTTCCATTTAAACCCATTACAAGGTTTCGCCAGTAGTGGGCGCTTGTGCTATGTAAGCAATGACGCACATCCGAGTGAACAAGACAGAGGGAAGGGCATAAAAATGTGGACTTAAACTCATTATAAGATATATAACTGCACTCCCTACCGTATAACATTGAAAATACAGATTGCCAAGAAAACTTGTCAATTTAATGTCTTTTTTTATTTGTAGTAGTTTTAGTTCTTCAACTTAAACTTTCAGTTAGTTACCTATACAAAAATTTCAATTGTTATTAATGTTTAACTTTTTCATTTATACTGAAAAAAATGGATGTTGGAAAGATTTTTCACTTAGAAATTGCTAGTAAATTTCACTAAGAATTACAAAGAAATGGCTAGTAACACATCAAATAAAACCGAGGTTACGTTAGGTTACCGATTCGTTTTAGTTAACAATGACAACAATTTTTAGTAGTAAATACTTTGTAGTAAGGCCGTGTGTCCACCAAAGCGTTTTTCCATGCGCCTGGCGTATGTTTTCAATTATATTCAATGGGAGTGCCGCGTTTTTTAAACGCCATGTGTGTAACGAGGCGCTGAGCGTTTTTTTTTTTTTTTTTCACGCTGATACGCAGAGCGCCCAGCGTTTTTTACTGGTCACCGATAGTTGAAAAATTTTCAACGTTGGATAAAACGCAGCACTCATCACTGTCACTTTTTACCCACCCGTCCAATCACAGTGGAGGAGGGGCGGGACTAAACCATACTGACCAACTGTCACAGCATTCTTTCTGTCCAACGACATCAACCAGCAGAGCTAACCGAACAACATTGATGAAAAATACATTTTTAGTATGAAACAAATTATCGTCAAAATCAGTTTTAAGTAAACTGTGCTGCAAATATTCTGCATCATATCAACGAAATGTCTCAACGGAAAAAACGTTGAGCTGACAAAACGCTCTCAAGCGCCCAAAGCACGGCGTCTTTAGACCAGCAGAGCGTCTGGCGTTTTCAGCTGGCTAAAAACGCTTTGGTGGACACACGGCCTAAATATTTGGAGTAAATATTTTTATCTGATTTCATACAACAGTTCTCTCTGGATCTCGAATCTGATTGGCTGAGAGCTTTTTCCATCTTTTTGATACTCCCCCAGATACTTCACCTTTTGTATCTTGCAGCGACTGTCATGGCGGTCTAGCAAATCCACCATATTTAAAAAAAAAAAAAATACTACTGTTGTTGTTTCACAAAATGTAGTTTTAATATTTTTTTTTAGGCGAGAATGTAGTCATTTAGTTTAATGTAAAACAAATGATTCAAGTGATGAAGACATGGACAACGATGTGGTAAAGGATTTTTGGCCAGGCACCAAATAAAATTCCAAAAGGGAGTTCTGTCAGCCAATAGAATTGGTTTCCGTGAGGGATTGAATCTTGCACAATAACGTGAAGGTAAAATGAACTAAAGCAGCATTAATGTAGATCTTTTACTGGTAGGCATTTTTTTTCTTTGTAAAAATCTGATTTGCATCTTTTTAGTCAAGGCAATTGAAAGAATATTGGTGTGTAGTTGTCACCCCTTCTTTCATTTAGTTTTGGCCATTTTCCAGGGCGTGAATGTTTTACTCTCTATAATTCCCTTCAAGGCAGCTAAGAGTCAAACCCGGCACATGCATGGTTTTCCACTCAATTTCAAATCCATTTGCAGGCTGATGTTGCCGTAATGGCTCTATTTTGTAATACCTGTTTGCAAGCTGCAGGCAATCTAGACTCCGGCTTTTGTACCTCTAAGATCATCCATTTTTCATCCCTTCCCGAAGAAATGAAAAATTATATTTCATCACAGGGAGAGCGCTGCCATCTCGGGGAACAGAAGGGCAAAGAGGTATTAATAGCATAGTTAAGGATCAGAATCAATGTCCCACAACAATCTTTTAAAATATATTTATATAGCATAAGGACATTTGCTCATTATCTGCATACGAGACGGACGGCTCGGCATTTTTCTCCTCAGTGCCGGGACTGAAAAGCAATTACCGAAATAATAGAGCCAGCTGATTTGAGCCTGTACCAACGTCAGATATGATGACGGGCTCTGACACCAAAACATTCCTTTTTGTTAGAACCTTTTAATTAAGTTTCTAAGAAGACAGGGAATGCTGCTTTATGCCTTGATAAACCTGCTATAGAGCGCAACAGTTCTGGAAGTCCCATTCATTTTTTTCCAGAGAGGAAATTAGTTTTAATAGTAAGAGTGAGAGAGTGAGTGGGTGAGCGAGTGAGTGAGGGAGTGAGTAGAATGAGTGAGCCCGACGTCCCAGTTAGAGATCACGTCTAGCTTCATCTCCTTCCAGCTCTTAGGGGTCCTCATATGGTTCGGAGTGGATCCTCCGAACACCATAGTCGATTATGACGAGCAGAAGACCATAAACCCACTAAACCACGACAAGACCCACTCATTTAAAGACTGAGTGGGTAGAATAAGTGAGTAGAATGAGTGAGTTAGTGAGTGAGTAGAATTAGTGGGTAGAATGAGTGAGTGAGTGAGTGAGTGAGTGAGTGAGTAAAAAGAGTGGGTAGAATGAGTGAGTAGAATGAGTTAGTTAGTGAGTGAGTAGAATGAGTGGGTAAATTGAGTGGGTAGAATGAGTGAGAAGAATGAGTGAGTTAGTGAGTAGAAAGAGTGAGTAGAATGAGTGAGTAGAAAAAGTGAGTAAAAAAGAGTGGGTAGAAAGAGTGAGTAGAAAGAGTGTGTAAAAAGAGGGTAGAATGAGTGGGTAGAAAGAGTTAGTAGAATGACTGAGTAGAATGAGTGGGAAGAATGAGTGAGTAGAAAGAGTGGGTAGAAAGAGTGTGTAGAATGAGTGAGTAGAATGAGTGGGAAGAATGAGTGAGTAGAAAGAGTGAGTAGAATGAGTGAGTAGAAAGAGTGAGTAGAATGAGTGGGTAGAAAGAGTGAGTAGAAAGAGTGAGTAGAAAGAGTGAGTAGAATGAGTGTGTAAAAAGAGGGTAGAATGAGTGGGTAGAAAGAGTGAGTAGAATGACTGAGTAGAATGACTGAGTAGAATGAGTGGGAAGAATGAATGAGTAGAATGAGTGGGAAGAATGAGTGGGAAGAATGAGTGAGTAGAAAGAGTGAGTAGAATGAGTGGGTAGAAAGAGTGAGTAGAAAGAGGGAGTAGAATGAGTGAGTAGAAAGAGTGAGTAGAATGAGTGTGTAAAAAGAGGGTAGAATGTGTGAGTAGAATGAGTGAGTAGAAAGTCTGAGTAGAATGAGTGGGTAGAAAGAGTGAGTAGAATGAGGAGGTAGAAAGAGTGAGTAGAAAGAGTGAGTAGAAAGAGTGAGTAGAAAGAGTGAGTAGAAAGAGTGAGTAGAATCAGTGTGTAAAAAGAGGGTAGAATGTGTGAGTAAAAAGAGTGAGTAGAATGAGTGAGTAGAATGAGTGGGTAGAATGAGTGAGTAGAATGAGTGGGTAGAAAGAGTGAGTAGAATGAGGGGGTAGAAAGAGTGAGTAGAAAGACTGAGTAGAATGAGTGAGTAGAATGAGTGAGTAGAAAGACTGAGTAGAATGAGTGAGTAGAATGAGTGAGTAGAAAGAGTGGGAAGAATGAGTGAGTAGAAAGAGTGAGTAGAATGAGGGGGTAGAATGAGTGAGTAGAATGAGTGGGTAGAAAGAGTGAGTAGAATGAGGGGGTAGAAAGAGTGAGTAGAAAGACTGAGTAGAATGAGTGGGTAGAAAGAGTGAGTAGAATGAGGGGGTAGAAATAGTGAGTAGAAAGACTGAGTAGAATGAGTGAGTAGAATAAGTGAGTAGAATGAGTGGGAAGAATGAGTGAGTATAAAGAGTGAGTAGAAAGAGTGGGTAGAAAGAGTGAGTAGAAAGAGTGAGTAGAATGAGTGAGTAGAATGAGTGAGTAGAATGAGTGAGTAGAATGAGTGGGTAGAAAGAGTGAGTAGAAAGAGTGATCAGAATGAGTGTGTAAAAAGAGGGTAGAATGAGGGGGTAGAAAGAGTGAGTAGAATGACTGAGTAGAATGAGTGGGAAGAATGAGTGAGTAGAAAGAGTGGGAAGAATGAGTGAGTAGAATGAGTGAGTAGAAAGAGTGAGTAGAATAAATGAGTAGAAAGAGTGAGTAGAATGAGTGTGTAAAAAGAGGGTAGAATGTGTGAGTAAAAAGAGTGAGTAGAATGAGTGAGTAGAAAGTCTGAGTAGAATGAGTGGGTAGAATGAGTGAGTTAGTGATTAGAATGAGTGAATAGACTGAGTGAGTAGAAAGAGTGAGTAGAATGAGTGAGTCAGTGAATGAGTAAAATAAGTGAGTAGAATGAGTGAGTGAGTAGATTGAGTTTGTGATTGAGTAGAATGAGTGAGTGAGTTAGTGAGCGAGTTGAATGAGTGAGAACG